ACAAAAAACTGGACATGAGCCAGCAGTGTGCTCTCACAGCCCAGAAGGCCAAACATATCCTGGGCTGAATAAATAAAAGTGTGGCCAGCAGGTCGAGGGAGGTGATTCTGCCTCTCTACTCCGCTCTGGTGAGACCCCACCTGCAGTACTGCGTCCAGCTCTGTGGTCCGCAGTACAAGAAGGACATAGACCTATTGGAGAGGGTCCAGAGGATGGCCACAAAAATGATCAGAGGGATGGAACACCTCTCCTATGAAGAAAGGGTGGGAGAGTTGGGGTTGTTCAGCCTGGAGAAGAGAAGGCTGCGGGGAGACCTTATTGCGGCCTTTCAATACTTAAAGGGGGCTTATAAGAAAGATGGGGACAGACTTTTTAGCAGGGCCAATAGCGATAGGACAAGGGGTAATGGTTTTAAACTAAAAGAGGGTAGATTCACACTGGATATAAGGAAGAAATTTTTTACAATGAGGGTAGTGAAACACTGGAGCAGGTTGCCCAAAGAGGTGGTAGATGCCCCATCCATGGAAACATTCAAGGCCAGGTTGCCCTGAGCAACCTGCTCTAGTTGTAGATGTCCCTGCCAATTGCAGGGGGGATGGACTAGGTGACCTTTAAAGGTCCCTTCCATCCCAAAGCATTCTATGGTTCTATGATTCCTACTAGAAGAACATATCAGAAAACCTTAAACTGTACAAACACTAAAATCAGAACTGAGCCTAGCAAATGAGTTCAGTGCTTTAGAAACACTGAAATGAGCAAATGCAAATAGAAGTGGAATAAAGAACCCTAGTTCCTTCCTTTTGCAAAATGAACTTCAACAACACAGTAGCTGTTCCTAAAATCTTGTAGTACTTACTTAGAATAAACATAAACTGAGATAAAGAGATGGATTACATGTTGTGGACAATTTACTCTTTTCTTACCAAGAACTACACTTTTTTAAACGGTGCAGAGCAAAACAGAATTTACTAAAAATATATGTAATAAAATGGGTATTCCTCATGGTATTTAATAATCTTTATGCAATTATGTAATGATATCCCTTTTCCAACAAGCTTCTCCTTCAATTCACCTTAAGCCTAAACATCACCCAAAAAAATGAGACCAGTATTGCCTTAAGTATCTCTTAATAATAGTAGCATCTTTAAGTAATGAAAAATGCAGAATGTTATGTAAATAAATAGCATGACTTACAGGCACACAGAAGAAGCACTGGTAGATGGCTGCCCTGCATTACATTTTGTTGAGAGGGAAGGATTCAATTTAGACTCAATACAAACAGTCCATTAGCCCAGTGCAATGATCCACTTCACAGACAGTAGTAATGCATCTGTTTTCTAAAAGTACCTACAGACATTCAAGTCAGTGTTTGTTTGTGTCAGTCCTGACCTCACTGCCTCGACTCCACTTGTCTCGCGTAGTGTATCTGCATTGGGTAGCGGGTAGCACACCCAGGATGTTATCCCTGACAGCAGCCTAAGCGAGCATGCTTCAGAAAACTGGCCAAATAGGGGAATCCTTCTTCCATAGATGATGCTTCTACTTATGCACAAGCTGCAACAGCATCACCACATTTAACAGCCCTGAGGATCTTTCTCTCCATGAATTTGTCTTTGTATGACCCTATGTATTCAAATCACATAGCATGTAACTTTTATATATTGGTTTTTGTGTGATCTAATAAACCTTGGGCCAATTCATGCTAAGATTAGACAACACTGTATTAACCGACCCAGTCATTATTTTAAGTAAAGTGACACGTTTCAGTCCTTTACATTCACCAGGCATCTTGCCATGTATTAATAATGTTGACAGAGTTTAATACCCTCTCAGGACAGCTAGGAAACATCTTTAGCTTGTTCAGTCTAGATAGAATATGTCAAAATAAGTCCACATGAAAGGAAAGATTGCGGTGAGGCTTGGATTAGGTTAACACACCTTGACGTGTATTTCTAGCATGGTCAAATCAAGCTATTAATTTTCCCATTGTGCTGCCATGACCTCAACAGAAATATAAAAGGAAAAAAAAAAGACACTCATTTGATGAACCTAAAACTTGATCTTGAAGGTTAGCAGTAACTAGTTTATATATAGGAAAGAGACTGGAAGTATATAATAAAGGTTTAGAACTACAATTTGATGTGATAACAACATACAGATAGTTTGTTCAGACACTGTCATACCTGTCAAATTGGTCCCCTATAAATACAGACAGGATCACTGAAGAATACTAACAGAAGATCTAACATAAAATAAAACATTCTATTTAAGGATGCTGTACCAGGAACTTATAGTTAATTTCAAAATGTTACGCAAATTGTTTCTTTTCATAGAACTGGCTAATACACCATGTGACGTGGAATAAAAATTGAACGTTTTAACTTTGAGTAAAATCAATGCAAACTCTGGAAGCAGACAAGTTCTTTCATACCCTGAACAATATCAGTGAACTTGACAGACAAATAATAGATGACATGCTTACGGTATTTTTAAATAAGCTTTCTCATTTCAGTGCATTTTCAGCATAAAAATTTGGTACCTATTAATAAATTGCCTGTGGGGTATTTGCTCTATCACTTAAACCTTCTCTAGAATATTCAAAACTGCCCAAAATAGATGCATATCTGGAGATATATGTATGTCTGTGTGTATGCATATATATATATATATAAATATAAAATATGTATAAAAATAAGTCCCCTTTGAAGTAAAGATACAAGTCCATATCCTAAAAGACAGCAAAAAAAGGAATAAATATTTAATTGGATCTTTAATGGAAATTCATTCAGCAGTGAAAATGCAGGCACCAAACAGACACCTAAGACAGTTTCTACCTACTCCTTTAACATTGTCTTCAGAGAAAGCATACAGAAGAAAATTTAAGACTTACTTACCACAAGATAAGTATTTTGCCACCTTCCCTAAAATATGATCTTCTTAGTTACTGTAGCTTTGAGGGCAACCTCACACATCACCCACAAAGCATATTGTTGCATGATATTTTTGTGTCCAAAATATTTTGTATCCAAATACTTAGGATTTCATTTTGAGTTCTTTTTGTTGAAATTCTAGGTCAAGTAGAAATGAACTATACTGGTTTATGTTGAGTACAGATTTTTTTGTTTTGAGGTGCTACCACTGAGCACCTCAGGAAATTCAAGACAACATCTTTCCGTGTAACAGCTGGCTGATGCAGAACCTTAAATGCCTCCTGAAATCTCACAACTGCATGATAATTGCATTTTTTATATTGTCTCCCATGAAGAGATGGATTTAAACATATGCTTTCCTGTTTCCCTTTTCAGATTTTATCCTGATAATTTTTGTACTTTCTGTAATTACAAAATATATAATATTTGCACAGGAACAGCTTATCTTCTGATAAGCCAGCACTCTTGTATCCACTTTTTGACTTGTCAGCTTTAAGGTTAGAAAAGAATTATTGTCTTGTCCCACTGAAATAGCCAGTTTATGATCTCCAGGCAAAGAATATTCCCTGAGCAATGACACTGGTACTTGAGAAAAAAGGACAGGGCCCTTGGGCCATGTTGCTTGGAATGCAATCAGTGCTTGCATTCCCCTTTCCCTCCCTGCAACATGCTATGCGTTTATTCTGTATAATATCTATATTCTGTCTATCTATTGTACTTTTGTTAATCATTTTTTCAGTACCTGCTTTCCACATCTCTCTTCTGATTTTTATCCTCACTGGTTTATTAGTTGCTCTTTCCCAGGCTTTTGTAAATGTTGCTACTGCTTCCTATTTCCAGTTTCTCTAGGTTCATTTCTGCAAGTGTAGTCAACTTGCATTTCATTCTTCTCCTTCAAATTACTAATGAATATGTCAAACAAGAACTGCTTTTCTATTATACTCGTTCATCTGCTAATTAAATACTTCTCACTATTTGAAATGTTACCTTTTGTTAGTTCAAATTTTTAAGTCTTGACCCGTTTTCACTCCACATGACAATGTCTGGGTTGAATGACAGTGTTTTAAAATGGCTGTTTTAGCCGTAACGCGTGTGCGTCCCCAAGCTGTCAGATGATACCAATGTTTTAGAATGTATCTTCAGAAAAGTTGGGAAAACAACATACTCTATCCCTTTTCTTTATTATCTATTTTCAGCTACAGTAATGGCTGGGCTATTAAATGCAGAAGGAGATGGCAAGAACTGCATGTCTTAGCTAGAATGCCAGCACATCTCTGCAAACCAGAGAGAACCGGTCTGCTAGAGCTATTCCACATATACTAAAATCCAGAAAAACCCAGCCAGCCAAATATCTTTATTCATGAGAGGATTTCATCTGCTCGTCATAAGAGTTTTACTGACACTATGAGCTCATCCTTGTAAACAAGATCTTGCTCTGTTAGCCTCAGCAGAAAAATGGGTAGAAAATAGGTATAACGTGATTGAAAAAGTACTTCCTTCAACAGAAAGAACAAGAAATAGGATCTGCAAAGTGAACAAATTTGGTTTTCCATTTATACTGTATTTAAGATATCTTGATAGCTTTTTGAACCACTTCTAATTGCTAACGCAATTTAAAGTCCAATACAAATTTGCAATAATTCCAATGACCTAAATTCATTCTATTTTACTTATAAATTAAACACATACCAGCAATCAAGTGGTGCATGTATTATTAACAGATTATTACAGTATGAGGATTTGATGTAATAGAAAATTCTAGAAATAACACAATGAAAAACAGACTGTGCATAAGCCCAGTAACACTGCAATATTAGAAATACAGATGCATTACTGCAATTTCCAACTGTTTATAGCCTTGAGTTTCAACCAGTTACTGAATTCTACATTTCTCATTTTATCTTATATGACATTTGCAATCCAAGCATATGGCAATCAATGCTACCAAAAATTACTACAGATTTCCATTAATTCTGGTAGAGTAAAACAGGAATTATTTAGAAGCGGAATATGTCTGATAGCTGTATTGAACACCAGCATCTAAATGAATAGAAAAAGTATTTTTCCTACCTTATAATCATCCTCATAGTCATTATATCCACAAGTACTTAAGATGTCAGGAAAAATATCTGACCATCCATTACTCGTACAATTTTTGCTAATATTTCCTGTAAAGCAAAATTTGAGAGTTTAAATCAGAAAGATTCAAAAGTCTCCTCATCAATGAATCTTTAGACAACCTAACTTTGTCATTCTCTGTTAACACACTGTATTTCTAGCATTCCTGTTAAAGCAACCCAGTCATTTCCATTCATGTGGCTCTTCATTCATGTTACTTTAGCTTTTACTCTTGCTCTAAGTTGCCTTTGCACAAAAGAAAAACGAAAGTAATTCCAAGCTGTGATGGCAGGCTCTGCTTTGGTACAACAGCTATTTCTGTTACATCTGCAAAAGCCTGAAATATTTTGCTGTTTTATCTGAAGTATTCTGGAGGGAGTCTTTCAGCTCACTCTATAAAGGGGATAATTTGTAGGCACAGTAATTCGATAGAAAAGTAATTTAAGTGAGAGTTGCTCTAACCTCCTATTTAAGCTTTTCTGAGAAGGTAATACCAAATGATCTACTGGAGAGTTATAAAAGCTCTTAGATACTATGGTGATGAATTACTGCTACAGCAAATGTTGGTAGAGTTGGTAATGCACTTTAAAGGCCAAATTATGTGATAGGTTGAAGAATGAGGAAATAAATATGCATGCTGAATCTCAGTCTTTGAACCAATCACTGAAACAATGTAGTCCAAGGAACATACAGGAGGTGAAAGTATGGTTGGAAAGGAATTTTGAACATCTATTAATTTCAGAAAGGATTTTTTGGTTGGAACTGAGAGAAGTTGACTCTTTTCCCAGATGAAATCATGCAGATGAGATGGGGGCAACCCATGATTCTACTCCTTAATCTAATTAATATGAACTAATGTTCAAACAATATGGAACAGCTCCAATAGGAGAAAACTGCAGAGTTTGATGTCAGAACAAAGAATAGTCATTAAAATTACTGTTACTTACTCTTACAATGTTAAATCATAAGCAACTTCCCCTCACCTTTCTTACAGCAATTTTTATATCCATGATACTTGAAATCTATAATAACACACTGCTTTGGTTTGGAGTTTCCCACTGGTCTTTAACTGACTTAAAGATGCCTGTTTTTCACCACACACGAACAAATTTATGTGTCACAGGTCAACTTTGGCCAAGAATAACCAAACGTGTTTATATACACTCCAAACTAAAGCTTTTGTGATTTTTATCTTGCTGGAATATCTTCTTTGTATAAAGTGTTCAGTGGAAAGTTGTAAATATCCTACAGATGGTTGACCAACCAATGACCAAATCTTTCTAGCTTATAACAAGGCCTTGACCTCAAACCACAGTGTGTCCTCAAACAACAGCACCACTTCTGCCATTTGGCATAGATGTGGCACTTTTTAAAGAAAATGTAACCTATTTATACACTCTGAAAAGTCTTCACTTTAAGAGCACATCAAGATTCTCTGACTAGGCAGAGCAGAGGAATGTGTTAACAGAACCACAAATTACGTCAAGATTCTTGCCAGTTTTGCAAGAAAAAGACTCTATGTACTCAAGATGCTGAAGCATTTTCTATTATAAGTACTGTAAGGCCTTCTAACTTAAAGACAGTTAGACAATGTTCTGTGGCACACATTGTTTATTTCTACACCATCATTCCATGCAATTAAATATTTCAGACGGCAACCTCTTTAAAAGCTATAACTTGATACATACATTTGAATAAAAAATTCACAGAATAACTTTCTGATACTCATATACTTGCATCATTCTGTACAATACAGAAAAAACATTATAGGATAATATGATTGCTTTTACAGTAAAAGGTCATTTAGCATAAAGTTACTAATATTCAACAGAGAACTGATTATGTGGTACGCTTAAACTATAACCTTGACCATCACAGAAGAAATTAAGAGCCAGTTCTCCAAAAGTTGTGAAGATGAGAAGGCAACTACTTTTTTAATTCACAATTTAAATTAAGAAATCCTTTAAAGAATTGATGGTATTTAAAAGCCTACTTAAGATCTGGAATACTTCCATAAAAATGAAGTAGTCTCGACCATCTTGTAGTAGAATTTTAATTCCTCTTAAACCCTGAAAAAACTAAAACATACATCTTGCATATCTGGCTAAATAAAGAGAGGTAGATTTCTTGTTTAAAGATATTTTTATAATTTCTTGCCATAAGAATCAAGTGAATTTGAAATGTGCTATATATGAATAAAATAAATTACATAGTCCTGAGCATAATCAAATTATAAAGGTGCTGAGATACTTAGTTAGATCTTAATTGAATCAACCAAGCAAGATGTTTGCTGTCTTCCTTCTCTGAAATTAGAGAAAGACAAGATATAAAAGATCCTCTTAATTGAACAGGTACGTCTAAAAAAACCACCCTGTTAGTTCCACAAACAAGAAGTAACCAGGTAGCTATAAAAAAAGCTGTATACAGGAAAATTACAGCAAACTATAAAAAGTAAGTGATCTTTCAGTCTTGATGATGCCATGCCCAAGTGAGATAGAGCTGAAATGCATTGTGAAGGTTTCAGACTTAAATATTTATTGCAGTTGTTTTATAGGAAAATTAAAATGTTATTGTAATATAAGATACTAACAGTTGTTAAATATCAAACATCCAAACTCGAGAGAGAGTTTGCATGCTCTAGCTTTTGGCAAATACACAGAAACAGTGTGATTTAACTCAGATTTTGAATTTTTGATATTTATTAGTTTGCCTTGTCTGATGACAACACCTTAATATCTTCGAGTCATTTCAATACTTTCATAGATTTCACAAGATCTAGTGAAGATTACACATACTTTCCCCTTTATAAACTGTTTAGACTATCCATGATAAACTAATCAAGATTCACCAGCTCCAGGAATGAAAACCTTTGCCCATCTGTAGATTGTTTTAGTTATCTATTTTTTACTGGAATGAGACTTAATCAACAGTTTTGAGAACAAAGGTATTTTAGTCATACCCCAAGTTAGCATCTGTGTTAAAAGTAATATTGTTAAAAAGCTCTCCACAGAGACCTCAAAAGCAGAATTAAATCACTGTGATAAATTTTGCATCTTTCACCAGTTCTTCATGACAAAGGTTTCTTACCTGAACAATGGGGATAAGATCTTTCCTGCTGCCTTTTGAGATACATATGTGAAATGCTATGTGTGCATCATCTATTTTTAAAACCCCACTAACAAGCCAAAGTGCAAAATTAAACCACAGTATGATATACTGACAAGATAGTGCAGAAGATGGTAGACTTAAAACAGTTAAATGTTCCAGCAGTCTGAGACACTGATGAGCTCTTTTCAAGTTCCATTAAAAAGCAGAATAAAAGGTTTCATAATGACTACCTTAAATTGCAACGGTGATAATTTTTAGGTATTATGTGTTAATGTTGGCTCATTATTCTCATGAAGGTAAGGCAGAGCTCCCCTCCTAGGCACAGAAGGAACAACCTGCATGTAACCTGCTGGCAATTGTTAAAGATGTCAGTCAGGCTCAGCTGCCTTAATAATTAACATAAATAGGTCATAAAGAGCAAGCAATGTCTTCAGCCTTGACGAGTGTCACTATATCAGAATATATGTTTAGTATCTGATTCAAAGAACACCATATGGACCACAAAGACAATTTGGTCTTTTCATGATGTATCATGAACAGCTCTGTTAAGAATCTATTATTTTAACTCTTTAAAAAGAAAATAAAAACTTTTAACTGCAAAAAAACCCCATTGTTAGCATGTTATGTTATAAAATACCAAAGCGAAGCCAGAAAAAATACATCTTAAAATGAAATACCTGGTTTGCCAGAAAAAAGGCTAAATACTTTTGGACAAGGGACAGTGACAGTCTCTCCAATCTTCGCAGGACGCCAACAGGTGATGTTATCCCAAACTCCAACACATCCTGAAACAAAACCAGCAGTAACAGACTTGAAAGCTCTGTCTGGTTCAAATCACCCTACTGTATTTACCTTATAAAGACTTGGCGGAAGCTTTGGATGAGTAGTTCAATAAAGACTAGACTCCTTCAAGAAAGCTGCAAAGATGGTATTTTTTATGAAAACGTTAAGGGAATTGTAAGAGTCTGCTGATTAATCAGCTTATTTTTACATCAGTTAATACATTCTTTGCAAAATGTCTTATTAAAACTATGTCATTTTGATGGGATCATGATAAGAAAATGTTAAAAAAAGTAGAAGTAGTTCATTGGACTCAACATCACAAATACAATGGGAGCGCATCCTGACTGGAGAATTTTTGGAACAATGGGCATGGACTAACAAAATCATCTCTCCTAAACTAAATAACAGAGATTTGAACAAAGAATGCTGCTGTATATTTATTTCAGAAAGGGGGATCATAAAATGTTACAGGCATGTTTTATAGTAGTACTAGTAACAACTTGTAAAAACTTTTTAAAAAAAAAAAAGATCATGTGCAAAATTCTGGGCATTTATGTTTTCAAATAAGGCAATTGACAACTGACAATTTAAATTTGTAATTAATGCTAAAGAGAGAAACAAAACTTTTATCCTACCAGTATTATCTCCATAAGACTATTAGAAAGTATAAGGGACAGTTTGTTCCCTTCAGTAGAGAACATGAAACTTGGATTAGGAACTACTCATATCCACGTATAATACTATTCTTCAGAATATTTATACTATTAGCAATTCATTATTCATTTACTCTGCGCTAGTGAGGTCACGCCCAAAATCAAGCCACCTGAGTGAAATGAAGCTGGAAAAGGAACATTTAAAAGTTCTGTATTTGTGTTAAACCCTCTTAGTGCACTTAAACTTGGATAGCTTGTGTTGACTTAAAGTGTCTAGTATCCTGCTTCCAAAGTTTAAGTTACTTTCAAAGTACATGTAAACTAGGGAACCCAAGAGTGTGTTACAGAACTGGCAGTTGGATTTGCCCCTAGAGGTATGTCCTAGCTGTAGCTTGAAGGAGAGCCAGTGGCATAGCATTCCCATGGGCCTTGCTTTCCTTTGGAAGACATCTAAGTGTGATAGTTGGGAGGAAGCCTCTGTGCTGTACCAAGAATAGGGTTTGGAGATGAAAAAAAGAAGATGAGAGGAGGATTATGGGCTAAATTCTGCATTTGGTCACCAATTCCATAGAGTCATCTTTATAGTTTCCCAAGGAAATGCTATTCTCCAGAGGAGTCACTTGTTCATGGGGACTGGGTCTTTCTTCACTCCTCTTAGGATTACACAGGTCTAAATGCAGCACCTGTTCTATATTCAGAAAGATGATGCCAAAAATAAGGGATTACTAATGGGAACACTTCACAAAGCTTATCTGTGTGGGTAGATAACATGTAATGCCTTATTGTCTGCTGCCTTGTATGCTGTATCAACCTCCAAAGAGGTATGCAACAAATGTATTACTGTTCATTACCTCACATGCTCACCCATACTCACTTCAATGCCTTTTCCAGCCAGGCACCAAAAATCTCCAAAGACATGTGGAGATTCCAAATCTCCAATCTATCACAACTTCTCTGGGCAACCTGCACCCACACAATTTCCTCTATGAAAAATTTTGCCATGCATCTAATCAGGATTTCCCTTGCTGCAAGTTGCTTCCATTGCTTCTTGTTGTGTGTTTTTTTTTGTTGTTTTGTTTTTGGTTTTGTTTTTTTTTTTCTGTTCATATCTGAGAAGAGTCTGACTTCATCTTCCCTATAAGCCCATTAGGTAGGTGAAGACATCCTTAGCCAAGATGAACAACCCCAGCTTTCAGTCAATCGTTATACACTGCATATTCTAGTGCTGTCTCCATGCTCTCTGCTGAGCCTGTTAATGGCTTTTGTGTACAGAGGAGCCCAAAACTGGACACAGTACTCTGCTGAGATGCAGTCTCACGAGAGACAAATAGAGACAGACAATTGCTTCTCTTGATCTACCAGTTTGCTAATGTAGCACAGCATATGGTTAAGCCTCATCTCTGTAAGGGTGCACTGCTGACTCATGTTTAAATTAATATATTTCTAAAGCAAATATGTAAAATGGTTCAGAAGAATTTAATCTTAAAAAATTCTTATTTCTTCCCAAGAGAGCCTAAAGTTGTTAATTCAGTTGCAGAATCTAGACTGTAGATACCTGTCTTCAGTCAATCCCACCCTTGTTTGGTTAATACTGTGTGACTTACCTCAGCTTGTCAACTTCTCTGGTTACCTGAAGAGGACTAATTGTTTTGGTTCCTTTAGTAACTTTGACTCCTTAAACCAATATATCGGATTCCTTCTTTTAGCCTTACCTTAGGGTAAGGGAGATTTACTTAGGACTAGGAACTGTGAGAGTGGCATTCTTTTTATCTGTATTCCACAGTTGGCTGAGAAGTTCCTGTTCCCATTGCCAATTCACTTTTTTCAGGTTTCTGGTCCTTACCTCTTGAAGGAGTGTTTTTAGCAACACTTTCTAGTGTATCTGCCCCTACAGCTGGTTCATACATTTCTTTAAGAATTAGCTCATGGGTTTTATCTATACTCTGTTTTACCTGACTGCCTTCTATTCCCTCTGGCACTTGTAGCCTTTCTTTTTCATTAGTAATGATATCTCTGAGGTGATGTTGACTTGTATACATAATTTAAGAGGTTTACACCTGAGCAAGTCATCTTCGTACCCTTTGAAGTCAATGGAACTTAAACATGCTTAGGTGCTTCCTGAGTTGTAGTACTGGATTAAAGTCAAGTCCTGCATCTCTACCAGGGCTTACGCAAAGTAAAAGAATATTTACTTCAGCCAATTCAGGTCATGCTTCCTTCCCAATTGAATTTAAGCCAGAAACAACATCAACATGACATACAAGAAAGACAAAGAAACTATTTTCTTGATCTGCCAGCACTCAGAACTATAGTGACAAAATGCAACTCTCTTGGCTTTGATGGATGTACTGCCTGAGCCAGCATAAACAAGCCCTGGAGTACACAAGAATAATTAGCATCTTGTGTGACTTCAGACCTTTTTAGTTCATCCCCATTTCCACTAACAAGTGAGAGGTGAGTTGAGTCATGAAAGTGTTCATGCACACCCATAAAAGCTGATGACTACCACAAATTTTCCCTTTTGTTCAGTGTACTCTGTAAAATGGTGGATTTGCTACAGTAATCTGCAAGCAGTTCAGAGGCCTTTATAAATTTTTGCTACACTGCTATATGGACTGGACTAAGGCTTTGCTAAAAAGGCAGCTGAACAACGTGGACTTCAGAGCTCCATTAGTACCTTTTCCACAAAAAACCACAAAAGTCTTATTCAAGCTTCACTTACATGAAATATTATACAGAAAAACAGAGGTCCAAGTCCTATTCCCACCAAAATCAATCAACAAAATTTGTATCAGATCTCAAAGCTAGCTTGCAGAAAGGAAATCGGTATACAAGTTCTTGACATTCAAAACATTACAAGTCACTAACATTTTCTGGAGAATGTATTTTTTAACCTCAGTTTTTCCTCAGTATTTTAGGACTTCACATGCATCTATGGCACAGGACAGAATGATACTTTTCCAGACTCCTTAAATCAAATAGATGAAATAACACGGAAGATGTATTTCCTACATCTAGACTACATTCAGATGCATCAACAATCATGAGAGTGGAACTTGAGTGGCTGTCATCAGAATTCCAAGAAGAACATTAAGCCTCAATTTATGTACATTTACAGGCTTATTTATTATGGTACAGGAAATCTGAGAAAACTGCTGAAATGTCCTCGAGGCATTTATAGTCACTGAATGACTGCAGTGTGCTTCTGAAAACTGGTCTAGGGCTGAATGCTGAAATGATGGTGTTACTGGTGCACTGCTAGGGGCTGTTAGAAGTAAAACTGCTAAACGATATGCACTTTTCTGGGCTTTCAACTCACACCTCTCCTCATTTCCCCCTCCTCCTATTACTCCAGATTTTTTACAATATTGCAGTCACATATCTTTTTCTTCTCTTGGCAAAACACACCCTTATGCAGAGGCGGGATACAATTAACAAGTCCATTCTTACTACACTTGCATCAATTTGTTTCTTCCATCCCAACAACATATCTCTATTGTGTAGCACGAGCTTAATTGTGCACAATTGAAACTAGCAATTAATTTCCCACTGATCTTGCAAATTCAAGATGTGGCACAACTGGAGACCTTGGTGAGTTTCACAGGTCTTCAAGTAGATATTGCTGTTTACCCACCATAGTATCCTTTTACAACAACGACATGCAATATTGTCAGAGGGTGACAGAGTATGATTCACCTTATTCTAAAACACATGAAAATAGGCCCGATTAATTGCTCCCAACAATTGCCTGTTTCTCCCCAGTGACTATAGAGCAGCCTACAGTACTATAAATACCTACGCTGTTGGGAAATGAAGGTGTGATAAATGCTGTGTTAAATGTGTCTCTTTCTGCACATAGAATATCTAGCTTGATCAAGCTTGATATGCTACTCTCTACTCACTTACTCTATACTACTCTCTGTCCAGCCATTAATTCATTCACTGTTAGGATTTCTGGACTGTCATTCCTCAGCGCTGCATTCCATAAAATCATTATGCACGCTCTTACTCTCTGGCAGTTTTACCTATCTATCTCCTGCATAAAGGAAAGGTATATTTCCTACTATCTCCAAAGGATATTAATTAATTAAGATACAAAATGTATTTATTTGTAGCTTTAAATAAGGTTTTAAGTTTTAGTTCTAGCAGCAATTCTACCAATAATTCTATAGAAAATATCTCACATTTTAAATAAAACTTAAATTGGTCCAATGTTTATTTTCATATGTCTGCAATTTTCTTTATTTATCATATTTTAAAAGTTTTTTTTCTAAGTACCCTAAAGTATTTTAATGTACATTTGTATCCTTTTATGTTCATTCATTGATTTAGTCTCTGTTTGCATCCAG